TATAGACCACAGATGAATGGAGCTGTTGAGGCTGCAAACAAGAACATCAAGAGGATATTGCGCAAGATGATTGATAATCACAAACATTGGCATGAAAAGTTACCCTTTGCATTGTTGGGATATCGTACAACCATCAGAACTTCTATTGGGTCCACGCCGTATTTTCTGGTATATGGTAATGAAGCTGTGATACCTGCCGAAGTGGAAATACCATCTCTAAGGATTATTCAAGAAGCGGAGTTGGATGATGCTAAATGGATACAAATTCGGGCGGAAAATCTTGCATTGATAGATGGAAGGAGGATTAACGCCGTTTGTCATGGTCAACTTTATCAAAATAGAATGGCCAGAGCTTTCAACAAAAAGGTTAGACCCAGACATTTTTCACCTGGGCAACTGGTTCTGAAGCGTATTTTTCCAAACCAAGATGAAGCAAAGGGTAAATTCTCGCCAAACTGGCAGGGTCCATACATAGTCTCTCGGGTATTAACAGGCGGAGCCCTCATACTTGCAGAAATGGATGGAGAAGTTTGGCCCAAACCCATCAACTCAGATGCTGTGAAAAGATATTACATCTAAATTGTTCATGCTCTTTTACTCTGTATTTGGAACTACGTCAGACCTGATTCCCGTTTAAGAGGGGATACGTAGGCGCTCCTTTGGAGTTCGGTCTTATCATAATAAAAATTTCATTTTCCCCTTTTGACTGTTAACTGGGGCAGAATTTTTGAGAGGGTCTCAAAAATTCCATCAAAAGGACATATTCTTGCAAATCACGATACTGGGGCAGAATTTTTGAATGGAACTCAAAAATTCTATCAAAAGCATTTTTTCTCACAAATCAGTAACTGGGGAAGAATTTTTGAGAGGGTCTCAAAAATTCCTTTGAACAAAGCATTTCCTGCACAAATCAAGACTGGGGCAGAATTTTTGAGGGTCTCAAAAATTCACTACGATCAAACTACAATCTTCAGATAACGGATTTGATACTGATGTCAGATGTTGCAAAGTCTCAAACTATGCCATGGTCAAAGATTCAACATTACTTTTTACAATTTATTATTTTCAAAAGCTTTTTCGAAAACTCTCTCTCCCTCTATTTTACATTTCTCTTCAAAGCAAATGCCCGGAAAGGTCTGGATGGCAAGTCAAAGGGAGCACACCGGTCGGAGCAGATCAACCGCCCCCATTTTTAAACTCACAATCTTTCTTTGAATACAGGAAAACAGGTACAGACGCAAAAGATAACTTCAGCATCACCTGACCGCTATTAAGCTCGACAAATCGCCAGTAAACGGTGCCCTATCCTTCCGACATGAATGAAGGGCCAAGTTATTTTGTACTCGACAGATCAATAATTATTGGTACATATTTCCAATCAGACAAAAGAATCAAGCTACTTTATATCAAGCCCGACAAATCAACATTCAACTGCACCCACTCCTTACAAGAGGACGAATGGTCAAAGCTACAATATTCTGAATTCGTCAACAAATGACACTCAATCCTTTCAATAAGACGAAGGTCTATGCCTCCAATCATCTGCATATGCCCGAGAATTGCATCATATGCATGTGCCCGAGATTGCATTGAGCCCGAGATTGCATTGTGCCCGAGAATTGCATCATCTGCATGTGCCCGAGAATTGCATCATATGCATGTGCCCGAGATTGCATTGTGCCCGAGAATTGCATCATCTGCATGTGCCCGAGAATTGCATCATATGCATGTGCCCGAGATTGCATCATCTGCATGTGCCCGAGAATTGCATCATATGCATGTGCCCGAAGATTGCATTGTGCCCGAGATCTGCATGTGCCCGAGAATTGCATCATATGCATGTGCCCGAGATTGCATTGTGCCCGAGAATTGCATCATCTGCATGTGCCCGAGAATTGCATCATATGCATGTGCCCGAGATTGCATTGTGCCCGAGATCTGCATGTGCCCGAGAATTGCATCATATGCATGTGCCCGAGATTGCATGTGCCCGAGATCTGCATGTGCCCGAGAATTGCATCATATGCATGTGCCCGAGATTGCATGTGCCCGAGATTGCATCATCTGCATGTGCCCGAGAATTGCATCATATGCATGTGCCCGAAGATTGCATTGTGCCCGAGATCTCCATGTGCCCGAGAATTGCATCATCTGCATGTGCCCGAGATTGCATCGTGCCCGAGATCTACATCATCTGCATGTGCCCGAGATTGCATTATGCCCGATATTGCATGTGCCCGAGATTGCATTGTGCTCGAGAAATTGCATATGTCCGAATAAAAAAAAAAAAAAAACAAGCTACAAGTATCAACAGATGCCCGAATTACAGATACGCTTTCTTTATTCATTATTTTATTCTTAAGGCGTCATGGTCTAAAGGCATCATTTTCATGGCCTGCGGACATCATATCATGGCCTAAGGATTTACTTTCTACTTATCATGATCCAAAGGTGTCATAGTCTAAAGGCATCATTTTTCATGGCCTACGGACATCATATCATGGCCTAAGGATTTACTTTCTGCTTATCATGATCCAAAGGTGTCATAGTCTAAAGGCATCATTTTCATGGCCCGCAGACAACATCTCATGACCTGAGGATATAATTTTTGCGTATCATGGCCCTAGACATCATAGCCTAAGACATCATTTTCATAGTCTTATGGCAAACATCATTGTCGATATGGGAAATTGCATCATGTTTACCTTTATCATTTATTCGATATAACTGCTCTAATCACTTTATTTAGTCATATTATGAGCTACAGATTTGCAAAGACTGACATTCTGCAGGCGAGATCAATCTCCCTCTCGGCTACAATTATCATGCTTACGTCTATCGCAACAAAGACCCTATCGAATTCTTTGATACTTATAACCCTTGGCTACTTATTTTACTGTTTCTCATCGGATTTTGCACTCTAAAACCAGAAATCTCTCTGTCATGCCTTTCTCGCTACTCTTATCTTATCCATTCAAGCCGATATCGTTCCACTCGAATACCGTAACAATCTTTCAATTTTTAGGAGTCTTGTTTACTCCTAAATCTAGAACTACACACGACCTGATTCTCGTATGACCAGAGATATGTAGGCGGCTTAATACCAAAGTCTCGGTCGTACCCTTTTCCAATTTTTTTTATTTCAATTGATCCTACTGACATCTCTCGTCGGTCGGACAAAATCGGCTACTAAGTCAACGTTGGTTGCCCGACAATTCATCCTTCATTCCCAAGCAACCAAGGGGCAGCTGTTGACACCCAATTTTGACCGACCTTTAGCAATTTTTGAAATGCTATCCGATTAAATACGCTTTTTAAAATATATTTTTTTTATTCTAAAATTTTAGTTGATTTTGTCTAAAATCGTACATTTTAGTATGCATGCTTTATAAAATTATCATAAATATTATTAAGATATTTTTAAAATTATTTGTAAAGATAAAAGTATTTATTTTATTTAAATGTTTTAAAATTTAAGTGATTTTAATTATATAAAAATATTATGATATATGTAGTATTTAATTGAATAGCATTTCTTAAATTTCCTCAAAATCATTTAACTTATAACCTATTTTATTCTACTTCCTTTCAATTCTAGCCTAATCAATTCCAATTTTATTTCAATTGTAGCCACTTTTCATCTCAATTTTAGCCACTTCAAATTCAATTCAACCTGATTCTAAAACTCTCATCTTTTAATCTCAACCGTCTGTCTTTAATCAAAACTAAGACCAAATCCTAGCCCCTCATCTCTTATTAAATCAATGGATGAGATCGAATTTCCATCTTTCCTATTTCAACACTAAAAACACCCAAAGCCCAAAAGAGTTGTTAGGTCGTGCACCCAGAACCCGTTTTGCGAAAAACGGGGCGCGACAAGGAACCCGAAGGCTTTGTGGCAAAAGTAAAGGAAGACAGTTTATAGGCTAAGAAAGGCACTTTATGGACTTAAAGAGACACTTAGTGCCTGGTATGGTCGAATAGATGGCCATTTACTGGGATTAGGCTTTGAAAATAGTTTATCAGAATCTACTCTTTATGTTAAACATCATGGCATTGATATTCTTATTGTGTCTATATATGTGGATGATGTGTTAGTTATAGGAAGCAATACAAAGCATATCGAAAATTTCGAGCAAGAAATGATGCAAGCCTTCAAAATGACTGACCTTGGTCTAATGTCCTATTTTCTTAGTATGGAAATCAAGCAGGGATAGGATGAAGTTTTCATTTGCCAGAAGAAATATGCTAAGGAAATTCTCAAAGAAGTTCAACATGAAAGATTGCAAGGAGATGAGTACTCCTATGAACAAAAAAGAGAAACTAAGCAAGAATTATGGAGCATAGAAAGTGGAGGAAACATATTTCAGAGGCTTAGTCGGTTGTTTGATGTATCTCACAGCTACAAGACTCGATATTTTGTATGATGTAAGCATACTATCGAGGTTCATGCGTTGTGCTAGTGAGGTGCATCTAAATGCAGCAAAAATAAGTTGTCAGATACATCAAAGGTAACATTAATTATGGTGTCAAGTTTAAAAAAAAACTAGCTTTGAAACTTCTTGGGTATTCTAATAGTGATTGGACAGATAACATGAAGAGCACATCTAGATAGTGTTTCAGTCTTGGCTTAGGAATGTTTTCATGGTGCTCAATGAAGCAGGACATTGTGGCTCAATCCACTGCAGAGACAGAATTTATGGCTGCAACAACAGAGGTGAATCAAGCGTTGTGGTAGAGGAAAATATTTGTTGATCTGCACATGAATCAAAAAAAGGGAACTAAAGTATTTGTGGACATTGTTTGATTATTCAAATTTTTATAAACTAACAAATTTAAATGTACTATTTTCCTAGTAAACACTGAGAAATTGTTCGATTATTCAACGACAAGATCTCAAGCGGCTTTGATGGAGAGATTAAAAAACTAATTATCTTTAGCCTTTGCAAAAGGATACCATAAAACAAATTATTCACATTGAAAAAATATAAATTGGCCGGAAAAACAAATTGTGTGCTTATCAAGTTTGTCCAACTAAAATTCCTCAATGAAACAACGGTAGATCCTGAATATGCAAATGCATTAGCATGATGTCGTCAATAATGGTTGATTACAAAGAAAACTATCTGATAAATAAAACGTTGATGTCACACCACATATCTCTTTTGGTGAGACCAGCATAAAAATTTCAAACATCTACCTAACTGGAAAGTATCATACACGAGTAACTGAGGGCAGGAGAGGCGTGTTACCATCCTGCAAACACAAACAAAGTGCATCATGTCATTCGAGAAAGTAATGCAGATATCTGTAAATAGACAATGACAGATAAGTTGAGATTTTTGAGTGATGATCAAGTAATATAAATCAGAATTAGCACTCCTCCGATTAGATTCAAGGAAATATCGATAGCAATATCATCTGAGGTATGGGCAGCAGCTAAGTAGTGTGCTTTGTTATCTAGTATTTCCCTGTAATAGCCTAATAGGGGAACTGAATGTCTAAAAAAGGGGGTGCTTTTGCCTAAGATATGAAATTTGCACATTATGGATGTTGATAAACGTTCTGAAGAAGAAAATTTCTGGACAAAAACAGATGATACAACTACTTATCGGTGTAATTTAATTTACAGACTCTAGTTTTCCATTTCATGGCAAGGAGAATTTCAAACACCTGAAAGATTGAAATTTGCACTTTCAACATTTCTTGAACTTCCAATTTTCCCCTAGTAACCTCATTGTCCCAAAAGGAAAAAGAAACTAATTTAAGTACACCTCCAACATTCCCAGGTTCACTGGTTTCACTAAATATGCATCCTAGAAAAACACATCAACAACAACAATAATATATCCAGTAAAATCACACAAAGTGCAGTCTGGGGAAGGTAGAATGTACACGGACCTTACCACTACCTCATGGAGGTAGAGAGGTTTTCGAAAGACTTTCGGCTCAAATGCAGCAGTTCCAAATACAAAGAAGAAAATATAGCAAGAAATACCAGAAGGTAGCAACTTTCGGCTCAGATGCAGCAGTTCCAGATACAAAGAAGAAAATATAGCAAGAAATACCAGAAGGTAGCAACAACATCACAAAAATAATGCAATAATCAAAACTCAATAAACGATATACTAGGATAGAGTACTGAAAAAAATAGTAAATAATTTTGTTTTTCAAAACAAGAACTACAGTAATGCAACTAGTATGCTGGCAAACATCAATCACCCAAAGCAAAACAACATTACACTACCTACTAACCTTCTACCCTAATACCCTAGAAAAACACATCAAAAAGAGTATTCCCTGCTTTTCAAGATCAATGGAACTGACTTCAAAACAAAAAAGTTATTTTAGAAGAACTAATTGACAATTAGAGCATCTGATCACTTCCGCTCATAAATGCAAGACAAGTAGCCAACTGTATTAGTAGAATCTATAGATCTATGATAGTAGGGGGAAAAAATGGTTGCAGGACAATTGAAAATTTCTGATTCTAAGTGTTGAAGACATCACCTTATCTATCTAACACTATTATAAAAGCACGAAGCCCCTATGTGAATTGGTGATAAGACTTTTTTACCCTTTAAAAGTAGATTTTACATAAAGCAAAATTGTTACTTAACTTTTTTCCTAAGATTTAGAACTTTCCTTATTGGGAAAAGGGTCTGAAAAATACTCCAATTTTGGCCGAATTTGTTGTTACGATACCAAACTTTATGGAGGACCTTTTACCCCCTACATTATTTAATAGTGTATTTTAAAGGTATATATGTGTCCACGTGAACAAGTTACTATTTATAATATTACAATATTTATGATGTCCACGTGGACACATATATACCTTTAAAATACACTATTAAATAGTGCAGGGGGTGAAAGGTCCTTTCCAAAATTCGGTATTGTTACAGTAATTTCGATCAAAGTTTGAATATATTTCAGACCTTTTTCCCTTCCTTATTTGAACCATTTAAGAAGTCCTAATATTTAAGATTTTAAAATCATCAAGACTTTTACTATGTAAATCCTCTCATTATTTGAACTATGTGTAACATAACTATAATTCCTTTCGTTTTACTTTTTTCAATATTGAAAATTTTGAAACTAACAAAATTTATTTGTTCTTGTAGGAAATTAGATATGGGTCACCCGTGTGTCTCTTCCCCTTTTTATTTATTAAAGATAATAATATATATATATATATATATATATGTATAATTTTTTTTTAATTTTTTTTTATGTTATTATCTTTAATATAAATAAAAGGGGGAAGAGATATATGTTATTATCTTTAATGAATAAAAGGGGGAAGAGACAACTTCCAACACTCTTAAAAATTATATAAGAGATTTCTATTAAGAAGAAACCAGCTCTTTTTCCCTTCTCCACAAATAATTATAAACAAACACACTTCTCTATCATCATTGGTATTAAAAAAAACTCTCAGCACTTGTGAGAAGATTCCTATATTGTGATTTAGGGTGTGTTTGGTATGAAGGAAAACATTTTCCGAAAAATGTTTTTCAATTTTCTCATGTTTGGTTGGGTTAAATGTTTTCCAAATCAACTCATTTTCCTCAAATTTAAGAAAAATGACTTCCCTTCATCACTTAAGGAAAACATTTTCCAAAACTCTCTTTCAACTTCAAATTACAATTACTTTTTTGTTGAAAAAATCAATTTATTTTGTCCCTACCCTCAAACCAGGCCCCCAACCACCCCCCCACCCCCAAAAAAAAATTGAGTTTGTTTTTAAAAAATATTTTCAACTTCAAAATTTTATTTTTTCACCCCTACACTCGACCCCCCCAACCCACCCACCCCCTACTCGCCACCCCTACCCCAAAAAAAAATTAAGTTTGTTTTTAAAAAATATTTTCAACTTCAAAATTTCATTTTTTCACCCTACCCTCGACAACCCCCGTGTCCCGGCAAAAAAAATTTTAAGTTTATTTTTAAAAAATATTTTCAACTTCAAAATTTCATTTTTTCTCCCTACCCTTGACCCCCCCCCCACCCCCCACTCACCCCTACCAGCTCCCCCACCCCTAAAAAAAAATTTAAGTTTGTTTTTAAAAATATTTTCAATTTCAAAATTTTATTTTTTCACCCCTACCCTCGATCCCCCACCCCCAAAAACTTTTAAGTTTGTTTTTAAAAAATATTTTCAATTTCAAAATTTCATTTTTTCACCCCTACCCTCGACCCCCGCCCACCCATCCCCCACCAGCCCCCAGCCCCCTCCCCACCACCCCCAAAAATAATTTTAAGTTTGTTTTTCAAAAATATTTTCAATTTCAAAAAATTCATTTTTTTCACCCCTACCAAGCCCCCCCCCCCTACCCACCCACTCCACCCACCCCCAAAAAAAAAAATTAAGTTTGTTTTTAAAAAATATTTTCAACTTCAAAATTTTATTTTTTCACCCCAACCCTCGACTCCCTCCCCCCACCCCAAAAAAAAATCTAAGTTTGTTTTTAAAAAATATTTTCAACTTCAAAATTTCAATTTTTCACCCCTACCCTCGACCCCCCCCCTCCTCACCCACCCCCTACCATGCCCTCCAAAAATAAAATTAAGTTTGTTTTTAAAAAATATTTTCAATTTCAAAAATTATTTTCTACTCTAGTAAAAATAAAAGATATTTTTCAAAAATATTTTTCATTCATAAATCAAACACTAAAAATCTTTTCCGGAAAATATTTTCTACTCACCAACCAAACATGAGAAAATAAGTCAAAAATCAACTTGTTTTCCAGGAAAACATTTTCCTTCATACCAAACACACCCTTAGAGTGAATCTTTATAGTGTGGTTTGTATTTATAGCATGTGATTACATTATTTACTAGTGAAACAAATACTGATGGATCTTGGCAAACTATGTGTTCTTGATTCATTATTTTTCCTTCAATTCCATTTTTCTTTTGCTACTAAAACTAGTAGTATAACAAGTAACAATCCGAACAACACAATAACCAATTGTGGACATTCAATTCCCTTCTACAACAGTATTTTTTTTTTTTTATATTCAAGAAGTACTCTCTGCTAGAAGACTACAATAAGGCCCTTTAAATAAGATAATGCGTATATACTACATTTATGAAACTCAAAAATGTTGATTAAAGAGGTAGATTGTCTCAGCACAATATTATTATGAGGCGACACCTTTGAGACAATGAGACAAGATTTGATTTAGAAAATGAATCAAAACTAACTTGATTTTAGTTAATTGCTAGTACTAAAGAAAAAAGAGTAAGAATGTATTATTTTCATTTGATATAATAATAAGCGACACATATATCCCAAGAACTTGCACTTGTTCACAAATTTTTATTTTGTAGCTCAAGCACATTGTATGTTGTTTTTTTAAGTTTTACATTCATTAATACAGGTATACGCGCAAAGAGTGTACCTAATGACTAGTTTGAATATATAAGATTGTGGTCACTCTTTAACACCTTAAACTTTTAATGAGACGATCACACAATTCAATATTAGTATCATAGCAAACATAGGTGAGTTCAAATCTCACAGCCAGACACTATAAAAAGGATTTTTCATGGGCTTCACTCATAAAGAAAGAATCAAGCCCGCACGTGAGAGATAGCATGTCAAGGAAATAATTTATATAAATAAGGAGACGTTTGGTAGAGTGCATTCCAAAAAAAATAAAAAATACATGCATTAGTTTTGTGTATTACTAGTATCTTGTTTAGTACACTTTTTCAACCTAAGTATACATTAGTTATACACTATATTTGGTAGTAAGGCAAAGGGTTTAATGCATGCATTAGCATGGTTAAAGACACAATTGCCCCTCAAAACTTTTTACCACATCCTTTCTACCATATATGTGGAGGGTATTTTTGTAAGCAAATAACTTTTTTTTTAAATTATGCAATACATATTATTTTTAATACATCAAACCAAAAACTACACAAGAAATAATCTCAAGGATAACTAATGCAGCATAATAAACACTAGCATTAATAATGCTAGCATTACTAATACACCATATTCAACACTCTTTTTATCCACCCTACCAAACGACCCCTAAAAGTGTACCCTGTCTAACAGCTTTTACAGGAGATGGTTGGTTGTTACAACGATGAACTCTAATTCATGTCATTGTACAGCAATCAAGGTTCTCACTCAACTCAGCCCGTACTTGTTTTCTTTTTGATTAGGGACTTGAAATATTTTTCAACAAGTAATACTGAACACAAGGCACAGTTACATGAAACCTCACTAACTTTGTATT